TTTGGGATGTTTGTGTGAGGTTATCCGGTAAATGGCACCAAATTGTTTTTGGCGTCTTAAGGTTTTTTACAGTAAAATTAGCAAAAATGTATTCCCCATATTCATCACTAAAGCAAGTGGTGCTAAGACAAGATAATTGGTTAGAGTAATAGCTTGCAATACCACCCCAATTGGTTTGGTCTGCAGTTGTGAATTGCTGTGTATCCTGGTAGAGGGTAGATATCTATTGTGTCCTGCTTAGGCCAGGTCTCAGTAAGAATAATGCAGGAGAAGGGTGTCTTTAGTGATTCAAGGAGTGCTAGGAGGTCATCATAGTGTTTGCTTTTAAAGGGCCTATGTTGTAGTTAAGTACTGATAGACTTTTAGCATTGTTTAGGATAGTGCTGGCTTGTGAGCTGTGTAATAAAGGAAGTTACTTTCCCAAAAGGTTTTGATTGGGTGTCAGATTATGGGGGTTTAGATCAGGGTCAACGTGATCAATCAAACTTCTAGGTTTAAATTATGGTTATTTATATCCTGAGTTGTGTGTTGAGTTTAGTACTGATATTGTAGTGGTAGGAAGTTTGGACAAGTATATAGCTAGAGTATTTTGGTCATGTAGAGTGTAGTCACTACTACACATAATGAAGTTGATGTTGTCTATGTGTGTGCTGGAATGAACTAAAGTACAACTAGGTATAAACTAGTAATAAAAAATACAAATTAAAAATAGAACAAGACTCTCACTTGTAATTGCACTAAGGTCTAATAATGACTTTTGTGGAGTCTATGTTTTGAGCTAGAATGAGCTATAGTACAATAGGTTTAATCTAATAATTTTAAAAATACAAATTAAAAATAGCACTAGTCTCTCACTAGTAATTGCACTATGGTCTAATATAGTGAATTTGGTATTGACTATGTATTGAGTTAGAATGAGCTATGGTAAACTGAATTTAATCTAATAATATAAAAATACAAATTAAAAATAGCACGGTTCTCTCACTAGTATTGCACTATGGTCTATATAGTGAATTTGGTATTGACAATGTATTGAGCTAGAAAGAGCTATAGTACAACTAGGTTTAGTCTAATAATATAAAAAAACAAATTACAAATAGCACCAGTCTCTCACTAGTAATTGCACTATGGTCTAGTACAGTGAATTTGGTATTGACTATGTATTGAGCTAGAATGAGCTAGAGTAAAACTGTGATTAATCTAATAATATAATAAAGGCACAAGACTCTCAATTGTAATTGCACTAAGGTCTTATATAAGTTTTTTACAAGAATTAGAGTATAATTAGATTTAAATTGACAGGATAAAATACACAAATTAAGGTAGCAAAAGAATACTAAAAAAATGATAAAAATAAAAATGGCAATGACTTGGTTATAATATGCTAGTAAGATGGTAGACAGGATAATATAAAAGTTGTAGTTGAAAATACTAGTTTAAAAAAGTATGGAATAAAAATGGTCAATAAAAGAAGTTTACAATAAGTTTGATCAATATAGTTTAAAGTAAAATTGGGCAATAATAGGGATTTAGAATAAAATTGGGCAATTGAGTATTTTTTAAAGTGAGGTAGAATTATTGAAGACAAGTTATGGTTAGTTTATAATAAAATAAGATGGAACAGTGATGTGGTAATAATCCTATTACTAATACTAGAAATACCAAGATTCTTCCTCATATTAAGAACCTTTGTAGATTTGGGACAGCCAAGAATAATTCTGAGAGCTTCATTTATTTTTTAAATCCAAGGGTCGGAGAGAACTTTCTCCAGCTAATATCAACATGGGAGCAGCATAATCAATTAAGGACCTAACACAGGGTATGTATATCATTCTCATGATTCTCACATTAGCACCATAGTAAAGAAGTAGTAAAAGCGAATGCCAAACTGAAGTTGTAAAGCAAAAGGGCACAAGTGCAACTAATGTGACATTTTTATTGTGGCAACGTTTCACTCTCCAGGAGCTTTGTCAAGCCGTAACTGCTCGACAAGCATCTCGACAGCCACCTGAAATTCAGCACCCATATCCAACATATAAAAAAATTATCCAAAAGGATTGGGATCCTCTCCAAAATACGCTACTACATGCCACAATCAGCCCTTCTCACACTATACTATTCACTCATCTATCTCTACCTCACTTATGCTATTTGTGCCCAGGAATCAACAGCAGCAACACACCTAAAGCCAATAATAACCCAACAAAAAGCTGCAGTATGAATAATCACCCAATCCAATTCCAGGCAACAAACCCCCCCCCCCCTCTTCAAAGATCTAAACTTACTCACTGTACAGAACATCCACATTTACTACTGTGCAACCTACATTTACAGAACCATAAATTCCAATATTAACTCTGTACTAAAACATTTTCTTGATAGTTGTGACAGGACCCACAGGCGCAACACCAGGCACAAAAATCTCTATGACATTCCCCGTGTCCGGCAAAACCTATACAAAAATTCAGTATACATAAAAGGACCTAACATTTCTGGCATACAGTGGACCCTCATTTTTTGTGATTAATCCGATCCAGAGAGTCTGCTGAAAGTCAAAATTCATGAACGGCAAAACCATTTTCCCCATAAGAAATAATGGAAATACAATTAATCCGTTCCAGAAACCCAAAAATATAAAAAAAAAAAAAAAAAAAAATCAAATTAAATAAAGTTTTTACATAAAAAAAAAAACAATGAGAAGAAAGTAAAAAAAAAAAATATGTAAAATATATTTTTCATTTTTCCCCTATAAAATTATAGATATGGAAAACAGGGAAATTAAATTTCATCAGAGTGAAAACAAATTTGGCCACAAAATGAGCAAAACCCCAAACGTCAAAGACTGGGGGTCATTCGGGGTCTCACCTTTCAAGGCCCATAAATTTTTTAAATCGCATTGCTAGAAAAATGACGGTGGATATGAGAACTTCAAAACTAGGGGGGCCAACCCCTGATGAACTCTTCAGGTCACTTGTTCTTCTGGCGGGAAATATTGTGCACACAAACAGCACCTTTCAAGGCGGGTAAATTGCCCGCCTAAAAAATTGCGAGAACTTTCCGGCGAAAAAGGGGGAGTAAAACACTCAATTTTTGGGAGCGTTGAGGTTCCTAAACCTGTATTCCTGGAACACGGGAGGGAGAGATACATGATTTATACCCCTGGGAAAACCCTAGAGGGTATTACCGAACTTGCACACGGGAAAATCACTAAAATAGGGAAAGCAAAAAAATTTGGCAGCGTTTGAAAACATCCCCCCAATGAAAAGCAGGGGTACACTAGGGTAAGAGACCATACAAAAAGGTCGGGGCCCAGATGTTCAACCCCTCCCAGCACAAAAAAAGGGGGGATTCCCAACAGACCCGGCATTTTTCAAGCTGGCACTGGCAAGCACCTAAAGTCTTTCCCTGATCAGCCGGGCTGGGGCTCTTTTCTTGGTTTGCGTGCAGCAGCGCAACAGGGGTTTGATCAGGCTTGATCCACCGGGGGCCCTGGTCACAGACCGGGCTGCGGGGGGTTGCCCCCCGGAACTTCCCCAGGTAAACCGGGTTAACTGGGGAACACCCTTTCCGAAACTTAGAACTGCAGATATACCATCACTTTCACCGCCCGGTGGCTGGGCGGTGGCCCGGGTGGCCTGGTGGCACAGCCCCCCCGCTTCCCCAACGGGGGCCCGGGTTGGGTTTCCCGGCGGGGGGAAACATTTCGACACGTTTCCTTACATGTTGTCTGTTACCTAGCAGAAATAGGTACCTGGGGGTTGTGACTGGGGGGGTCGCATCCTGGGGGACAAGATTAAGGACCCCAATGGAAATAAGTTAGACAGTCCTCGATGACGCACTGACTTTCTTGGGTTATCCTGGGTGGCTAACCCTCCGGGGTTAAAAATCCGAACGAAATCTTATCTTATCTTACCTAATGAATCTTAAACTAGTCATAAGTTTGCCTGAGATATTGCTATGTATTGTGTATCGTGCCAAGACAAAACCACTGTCACTGCTAAATTTACGAACTGTAATGCAGTTACCTAGCCTTAATATCAACATGCTCCATAAACTGTATCAATACAGAGTTTGAATTAACCTTAGTCTCCCCTAAATGCCTAGTCATGCTAGGTGTGATAGTGGCCCTCTCTGTAATTAGTGTTTTATAATATGTAAATCACACATTGTAACCAATATTCTATAATATGTAAACTCCACACTGTAATCTTTATAGAGAATAAACTTGACTGATTGATTGATTGCTTGATTGATTGACTTATAATATAATAATAAGGTATTAAAAGGACCCCCAATGGAAATAAGTCAGTGTCTGACTTTTTATTTTTGGGTTATCCTAGGTTCTCTACACATATGCTGCTATGTATGATAATCTATGTTTTTGTGTATGCCTGAATAAACCTACATGTACAACTAACTATACGCTCGAGACGTGGTGGCTCCTAACATTCCCACTACCAATAACGCATGAGAAGCAAAGTTTCCGGAAGAAACTTTGCTTCTTTTCCAATTACCTCAAAGATTAAAGTAATATATATTTTTACCATATTCCTGGAAACTAGGAGAAATACTATGCAAGCTCTGGTGGGGCCCCCCCCCCAAAAAAAAAGAAAATCCAATAACATCAACAGCAACAAGGACCCCAATGGAAACATAAGGGCCCTAATGGAAATACAAGGGCCCTAATGGAAATACAAGGGTCCTAATGGAAATACAAGGGCCCTAATGGAAATACAAAGGCCCTAATGGAAATACAAGGGCCCTAATGGAAATAAGTTACTTTGACTGACTTTCTGGGCTATCCAAGGTAATTTACACTATGTAAGACAATTGTACTTATGTGTACCTATGTTTATTTTTTAGTTACTGTGATTATAATAATGTGTACATGTGCCTAACTTACTAAACGACGCCGGTTTTGTCTCCGGGCGCCGCCGATAAGCCGGGTTCGATACGGCGTCCCCCCAGCGGCCCTATAAACTGCCAACAGCAAGAAAAAAAAAAAAAACAACCTTGGAAGCTCGGCAGCTGCTGTTAGGACAACTTTTTTAACCGTCTAAGATAAGAGTTGCTTGGTAACGTAACGATAATTATGCCATAATGATAACGAAAAAGTCCCATGGTTTAATGATGTGGCGAATATTAAGCTCCATCTCACGAGGTATGATCATTTTTTTTAGAAAGTTTTTGGGTGGATTCCAAGAATGCTCTGTTCGACCCACATGGAAACCCTTGTGGGTTTAGCGCTCGGTTTTGATGATAATAATGATAATGATCATCGACTCGCAAGGAAAGGTACCTGGGTTCAATGCCCCGGTACTAGTACAATGTCCTGGTTTGCGATATTAGGGTCACATATTTATTTATTTTATTTATTTATTTATTTATTAATTTGAACATGATACAGTGAAGTACAAAGGAATAAAGTTATTACAGTGTAACATGCCAAAGCCCCTTGTTAGCAGAGCATTGTGGGCAGGATTAAAATTAACTTAGAATTAACTAAGCAATGATACATTCAGTGGTAAAAACATTATTGTAAAACAGATAACAATTTAGTACAAATGAGTATTACAAAGACAGGTCATATGGTCATTACTGTGTTGCTGTGTAATCAGTATATTGGAGTATTATGTTAGGTAATGTAATTAAAAAATAAAGTTTGATTGGGTCACAGGTTAGACATTTATGAGATACAATAATGAGAAACATTTATGACATACAATTTATGAGATACAATTTTAGGACCTTTTATGTGCATTGAGTTTTTGCATAGTGTGAGATGGACACGAGGAACATCAAAGAGTGATCTGTGTCTTGTGTTATGGTCGTGTGTTCTGTTGAGGTTGGTAAGGAGATGTTTGAGGGGAGGGTTTATATCAGAGTTAAGTGTTCTATGTATGTAATAGGTGCAGTAATAAGTATGGATGTTTTGTATGGTGAGTAGGTTTAGTGTTTTGAATATTGGTGGAGTGTGCTGCCTATAGTGAGAATTTGTTATCATTCTGACTGCAGCCTTTTGTTGGGTAATTAGTGGTCTGAGATGGTTAATTGTTGTTGAGTCCCATGCACAAATTCCATAGGTGAGATAGGGGTGAATAAGAGAGTGATATAGGGCCAGGAGGGTTGACTGTGGAACATAGTATTGTATCTTCGATAGTATGCCTACGGTCTTGGAAATTTTTTGTTGTATATGTCTTTGAAATTTGAGTCTATTATCAAGGTGGATTCCTAAGAATTTTTCCTCTGTGAGTTTTGTGATAGGTGATCCGTTTATCATTATGTTAAGAGGAACATCTGTAGCTCTGTTACCAAACTGAATGAAGTAGGTTTTGTCAATGTTTAGTGCAAGTTTGTTAGTACAGGTCCTCCATCACAAATCCGGCATCATTGGGACCTGTAGTGTGCTGGATTAAGGAGTTTGCCGAATTACAGAGTGGTTAAGTTAGAATACACTTAATAAAATTAACCAACTTGACTTACACAGCTCATTGAACATCGGCAAAAATCGAACATTTCCGCTACTTTGAGCTCAATTTCAAGGTACTTTTCGTCATGAAAGCAATCAAAATCATGTCTGTTTGTGTAATATATCTTCCATTATATCAAATGAGTCCAAAAAATGAGAATACAACCATAAAAACCATACGAAAATATACTGCAAAGAGGCGGCTAATGGCTGAGAAGTTAACTCCCTTATTTATCATCTGTCTTTTTTATTTTTGTTGTACATTAAGAAGCATCTTTCCATCATACAGTGCCCAAGTTTCAATGAGATAACTCAACAAACAACTGAGAAAAAAAAATATTTACCAAAAATCATATATGGCAAGCCCAAGCCAGGTACTGGAAATAAGTCACTTTGTCTGACTTTTCTGGGTTATCCTAGGTTCCCTATACATACACTGCTATGTATGATAATCTATGTAACTGTATTTGTGTATACCTGAATAAACTTATTTACTTCTAGTCCTGCAACTGAGTACAAGAAACTGCCCATTTACTTATTTCAACTACCCAATAAAGTGGTCAGAAATTGGCATTTTGGCCGATTTCACAAATTTCAACAGATGCCAATTTCAAAATAGGATCCAGAATAAACAATGTAGACATTCTTGGCACTAAAATAACATTTTCTCTTTATTAGTAACGGCTACAGGCCCCTCTTAAATTACTCTTGCTTACCATTTGGAATTTTTATTCACAAAAAAAAAAATAAAAGATTTACTGTTATGCAGACTACTGCATTATTGAATTGTATAAATAATGTCAATCCATTCTTGACTCCGTACTGGAATTTGGACTGGCAGGCGGACAGGTATTGGACGGTGACGTCATTTGTTTACTCTTGAGCTTCGCTAAAGAATAGAACATTTTCGCTACTGTGAGCGCAATTTCAAGGTACTTTTTGTCATGAAAGCAATCAAAATCATATCTATTTCTGTAATATATCTTTCATCCTATCAAATGAGACCGAAAAAATGAGAATATAATTATAACAACCATACAAAAATATACCGCTAAGCGGCCGCTAATGGCTGAGAAGTGAACTCCGCTATTTATGGTCTGATTTCTCTCATTTTTTGTGTACGTGAAGAAGTATCTTTCCATCATACATTGCCCAAGTTTGAATAAGATAACCCAACAAACAACTGAGAAAATAATAATAATATAATAATAATAGTAATAATAATAATAATAATAATAATAATAATAATAATATCTTTATTTACTACACGTACATGTACAAGGTATACAGGCCTAGCTGACATCAGTAAGTAAGTAAGTAAGTTTATTCAGGTATACACAAATACAGTTACATAGAATTATCATACATAGCAGCATATGTGTAGAGAACCTAGGATAACCCAAAAAAGTCAGACAGAGTGACTTTTTTCCATTGGGGTCCTTTTACCTTATTATTATAATACAAATGTTATACAGGTCCGCCATCACAAATCCGGCAATCAGTTATTCGGTTCCTTCAGTTATTCGGCACTAATTTTGGCTAGCATAATTTCAAATTTCCAGGGTCGCCACACCAACCTGCTGGTACTGTTTGGTGGTGCTACTTGCTGCATAAGTCATTCCATTTTCTTTTTCTCCATTTATTGTTTTAACCTGCTTACTTTTAGCCCTAGCCATGGTTCCAGTGAATAAAAGAAATGCTTCTCATTATGTAAAGCACCTACACAGTGCATTATCCATTAAAGATAAGGTGGCTTTGAAGCCACTGTCGGTTGTCATGAACTCGGTCTCATGAAGCAGGAGAATACGCTTTATTATTACGCTAATATCAACACTACAGCTTATTTACCTATCACAATTGATCTAATATGACATAATAAAGAATATAAATAACATAAAACATGTTAAATACTCCAGAATGAATAATATTTGGCATAACACCGAGCAGTTCGACGGAGGTATGAAGAGGATATGGTAAACAAATACCATTCTCCTATCCTTGTCTTGGGGGCTTATATTAGAGAAAACGGAGTGTAGCACAGGGCTAACTATGATATACGCTCGTACTGCACCATAAACATTAAACAAAAAAGTTATTTTCTCTCTATAGATTATCACACACAGCAGCATATGTGTAGAGAACCTAGGATAACCCCAAAAAAGTCAATGTGGCTTATTTTTAGTACCTGGCTTGGGTTAGCCATATATGATTTTTGGTAAATATTCAGTTCCCAGCCAGGGTAGAAACATTAGGCTTGATTCTTTACACCTGTTGTCTATGTTTACCCATAAGTAAATGGGTACCTGGGTGTTAGCCGACTAGTGTGGGTGTTATCCTGGGACACTGACCTAATTTTCTTGAAATACTCAGCATAACAAGCGGCTTTCTATATAGTAGTATGTCACTGATGTCAGCTAGGCCTGTATACCTTGTACATGTACGTGTAGTAAATATATTATTATTATTATTATTATTATTATTATTATTATTATTATTATTATTATTATTATTATTATTATTATAATATTATTTTCTCAGTTGTTTGTTGGGTTATCTTATTCAAACTTGGGCAATGTATGATGGAAAGGTACTTCTTAGCGTACACCAAAAATGAAAGAAATCGGACCATATTCACTTCTCAGCCATTAGCGGCCGCTTAGCGGTATACTTTTGTATGGTTATGGTTATATTCTCATTTTTTCGGTCTCATTTGATAGAATGAAAGATATATTACAGAAATAGATATGATTTTGATAGCTTTCATGACGAAAAGTACCTTGAAATTGCGCTCACAGTAGCGTAAATGTTCTATTCTTTAGCGAAGCTCAAGAGTAAACAAATGACGTCACCGTCGAATACCTGTCCGCCTGCCAGTCTAAATTCCAATATGCAGTCAAGAATGGGTTGACATTATTTATACAATTATTACAATAATGCAGTAGTCTGCATAACAGTAAATCTTCTATTTTTTGTGAATAAAAATTCCAATTGGTAAGCAAGAGTAATATAAGAGGGGCCTGTAGCCATGACTAATGATCAGAGAAAAGGTTATTTTAGTGCCAGGAATGTCTGCATTGTTTATTCTGGATCCTATTTTGAAATTGGCATCTGTTGAAATTTGTGTGAAATCGGCCAAATTGCCAATTTCTGACCACTTTATTGGGTAGTTGAAATAAGTGAATGGGCGGTTTCTTGTACTCATTTGCAAGACTAGAAGTAAATAAGTTTATTCAGGTATACACAAATAGTTACATAGATTATCATACATAGCAGTGTATGTATAGAGAACCTAGGATAACCCAGAAAAGTCAGACAAAGTGACTTATTTCCAGTACCTGGCTTGGGCTTGCCATATATGATTTTTGGTAAATATTTTTTTTTTCTCGGTTGTTTCTTGGGCTATCTCATTGAAACTTGGGCAATGTATGATGGAAAGATGCTTCTTAATGTACAACAAAAATAAAAAAGACGGACGATAAATAAGGGAGTTAACTTCTCAGCCATTAGCCGCCTCTTTGCAATATATTTTTGTATGGTTTTTATGGTTGTATTCTCATTTTTCTGGACTCATTTGATAGAATGGAGGATATATTATAGAAATAGACGTGATTTTGATTGCTTTCATGACGAAAAGTACCTTGAAATTGAGCTCAAAGTAGCGGAAATGTTCGATTTTTGCCGATGTTCAATGA